CAGCAGCAGGGTGGGCAGAGCAGGGTGGAAAAGTGAGTTTAGAGCTGGGGTGAAAACAAGCAGAGATTTAAACCAGCTCAGAAATCAGGAGGGATTTTCTTCAGAGGGAGAGGTCCTGGAGTCATAGGATGGTTTGGGAAGGGACCTGAAAGCTCATCCAGATCCCACCTCCTGCATGGGCAGGGACACCTCCCACCAGCCCAGGCTGCTCCAAGCCCCATCCAACCTGCCCTTCAACACCCCCAGGGATGGGGCAGCCACAGCTTCCCTGGGCAACCTGGGCCAGGCTCTCACCACCCTCACACCCAAGAATTCCCTCCTCATGACCAACCTTAATCTCCCCTCTCCCAGTTTCCATCCATCCCCCCCTTGTCCTCTCACTTCCCTCTCTGGTGATGCCCTGATGTTCATGGTGAGGAACAAGGTCAGCCTGGGGGTTTAGTCCCAGGCTCCTGCCTCAACAGAGCTGGGATTGGGAGTAACTCATTCCCTGAGTCACTCACCTCTGACAACACCTCCTCACTAGTCCTGGCCCTGGAGTTGATCCTCCCGGAGGGAGAAAATCCCACCGGGTGGGGGGATGGAGATTCCTCCCTCGATGCTGAGGGGTGTGTGTTGTGTCTCTTCCCTCCCAGGAAACCTGGTACTGGCACGGGGACGTCAGCGCCGACGACGTGGTGATGAGCGGGGTGAAGTGCTCGGGGACAGAGATGTCCCTGTCCCACTGCAGGCACGACGGGCCCCGCGTCTCCTGCCCCCGCGGGGGCGGCCGCTTCGGGGCGGGGGTGTCCTGCTCGGAGAGTGAGTAACTGGGGGGGTGTTTCATTTGGGGGGGGACACACGACGTGGGTTTGGGTGTCACGGAGTCGTGGGTGAGTCGTAGGGTTGGAAGGAGCTCTGGAGATCAGCCAGGGCAGGATCCCCTACAGCAGGTCCCACAGGAACACATCCAGGAGGGGCTGGAAGGTCTCCAGGGATGGAGACTCCACAGCCTCCCTGGGCAGCCTGGCCCAGGGCTCTGCCACCCTCACAGGCAAGAAGGATTTTCTCCTCTTCAGGTCAAACCTCCTGTGCCCCAGTCTGTGCCCATTGCCCCTTGTCCTGGCCCTGGACACCCCTGAGCAGAGTCTGGTCCCCCCTCCTGCCACCCCCTGGAGATATTGATCAGCACTGAGGAGATCCCCCCTCAGGCTCCTCTTCTCCAGCTGAGCAGCCCCAGCTCTCCCAGACTTTCCTCACAGCCAGATGCTCCAGCCCCTGGGCATCTCAGTGTCCCTGGGCTGGACTCTCTCCAGCAGCTCCTTGGCCCTG